GCTAGTATTTTACTGGAAGATAGCTTGTACGCGTTTAACTTAAGATATTTTGTAAAGCAGCACTGTTGAAGTCACGGGCAACAATTAGTTAAATAAATTAAAGATAAGCATATGTATCGGAATAATCAAAAAATTGTACTTCTGAGTTCCATGACGTCAGTAAATTATCCAGGTCGTTTTTAATCAAAACTTCTTTGTTTCAACTTTTATTGCCATAAGATTTAAGTAAACGTTTACAAGCTTTTATTGTTGTAATAAAAAAGAAAGTTTGTTTATGGTTCCTAAATCGTTGTTATGGTAGTTCTCGAAGAGATAGATGATTGAGCGCGTGCAATCGGCAAATAACAAGGCGCACGTTTATTCTCGTTGCCGTTAACTGTCAGGTGTTTTGTGATAAATAGACACACCTTTGTTGCATTTTATTTGTCAATTATTGACGTTGAAGTGTATAACAGTATCATTAATCCATGTTCGACGTTTTAAACTGACTATAATATTGTGATACGTAATTACCGTTGCTTATAATTCAACTTGTAAATAGTACTACTAAATGAGTTGTTATAATATAAAAAGATATTTTACTATAATATTATAAATGCGAATGTTTGGATGGATGGATGTTTGTTTGAAGGTATCTCCAGAATAGCTAAACGGATCTCGATTAAATTTGGCATACATATAGAAAATAACCTAGATGAACACATAAGCTACTAATTATGTTTATTTTTTAATACCGCGGACAGGGTCGCGAGCGGCCGCTAGTTATAAAAAATAATATTAGTCATTGGTCTATTAGATATTAATATTTCCTGTCATAGAGTAGATTAAAATGACTGTCTTTACTTGATGTTTTATTCTATGCACATTTGAAAAGATTTTATTTGTCTGAATAGATCTCAGGATGCTTCAAAATAACATGAAGATGTGGCTTGGATATATATTTGTCAACAAATGAATACTGAACTTTCTTGCTGAAACATTCATACCAGGTTTGTTAGATTCGTTAGTGTTGTGTTAAAAGATGCATAATTACTCATCTATGGATTTAAAAACATAGTATTATAAACATAAACTATGTAAAACGTTACCGCATTCTATATTTAATTACTATACTGCGGAGGTGTTAATTAAACTAAAAGCTTGAAGCGAGCCGGCTGCGCTGCATTCGCGGCGCCGATTTCTGTGTTAAATAAATGGACTATTCAAGGCCGTCTGATGTATCTTTTTTCCTAAACAAGTCTCGGCAAGTTTCCTTGATATACGACTTTGACATAACAACAATCTTAATTTTAATTCTCTCGTTTTTCCTGATTTTGGTTAGTTATCTCGTTTTTGTCACTAAAAGAATAAGTAAATGGTATTTTAAATTTTATTATTTCATTAATAGTGTACTAGTATGTAGTAGTTTCATTTATCATAAACTTGTGGACAATATTATCAACATCTTTTCATCTCTGTAACCAAGAGTAAAAACTTTTTTTATTTATATTGTGTAAAAACAAAGGTATTCGCTGACGACAAAATGTTTTTCTTACTGACATCAAAACATATTAAAACGTTATGAAATGTTAATATTTAATTTATTTTATACTAACTGTCATCCGCGACTTTGTCCGCGCAGCATCAAAAAAATAATAATTAGTAGCATATTTATTCTACCAGACTATGGTCTTCTCTATTCCAAATTTCAGAGATCATCCATCCAGCCAAATGTTCGCATTTATAATATTAGTATGATTAGTTTATAAGGGACTGTGTAACAGTAAAATTTCAATTTTCTTCAATAACACGTATACACATAGCTTTAAGTTCTATAAGGTATTACAACGATTGATAGTTCGGGAGAAAAAGATACAGTATAAGTGACATGTTGTAAATAAACATTTATAAAGAATATTATTTAAGACATATATGCATAAGAGATAAACGAGGCTCAAATATCGTATGATATAGCGCTACGTTATGTTCCTACCCGTAGCCATTAGCTATAAATTATCACGAAGCCCATGTTTAGATGTTGCAGTTTGCGAAGATATGCCGGCCGCATGGGAACCACGGATTATCCAAGAATTACACACTTCATACACGAATACTAAACGTTTGCATGTAATTTACGTTTACGGTGTATAATTTTATTAAAATTAAATCTAGCCGAGACAATAAGCGGACGTTGTAACTAATGCAATATATTATCTCTTTAATGTTCATCATACAAATAGCTTTTATAGCTAATGACCAACAAAAATACTAATGTTTGTGTCAAAATATACTTACATAGATACAAATACAACTTTTTAGAATTTTAAACGAGGTCGACTTCTTTCCTAATATACAGGCGGGTAGGTAGGTATGCTAATTACAAAAAGAAGCTCAATAAATAAGCCATTGCCGCTTTTCGAAATAAAATTGCAGGTCGTTTCAAGGTTCCGCGGACGCGATTATAGTACGGTCAATTATGTTAACGGGGTAATAAAGCCAGAAATGCGGTTTTTTGTGCAAATCAATGCTGATTGTGCAAGAAAAGCAAGTGCAGAGCGAATCGTATGTAATGCGGTTGGGCTTGGGATAAGTAGTATGTTATTTGTGAATATTAAAGTGTGCGGAGGGGCGCGTGTTATTTGGGAGTCGGGTAATGCATTTTTGCAAGCGAAGCGGGCGCGCGTGGTTACGCAAGGATGCTCGGGGAACTGGTCCGACCGGCTTGGATCTGGGCCAGAGCCATCTCTCCGCTAAGATATTACCGCTAATAGATATTGAACCTCCGGCCGCTAGCCGTCGACTGTCGACTGCGCCGCCACTTTTGCTGTCCGCCGTTCCTTGTGCTCGATTTGCTTTTAAATTGATTATTGCAGAAGCGGCCTGTGTCATGTTTCGACTTATAAAGCATGCATTACGCTGTACTGCTTAAACAGCCTCTTCATCTTATAATATATTTGTGTTCAAGTCAGAGATATAAAGAATAAACATTTTTTTTATTTCTGTAGAAAATATTTATGTATGCAATATTTTTAATATCTGTAAATTTGACATATGTTTATATCAAATTGGTTTTAAGCTTTACTTAAATATACAGTCAGAGTAGCGACTGACGTTAATCAATGTTATTAATAGAAACAGATTGCCATCATACGTATTTTAATATTTTATGTTAGGTAAATTATTTGTTAATATGCAATAGCTGCGCTTACGTTTTTTAGTAAGTCGCTGAGTATAAACAAAAATAACAATAATATATGCCACATTTAAGAAGTTTTCCACTATGATATAAATTGCAAATTATACTTAATTTTTCATACTTTTTATTCGAAATAGAAATCATTGAAGTCTTTTTGAATGCTTAACAAAGCGATGTGAATAAATTACAGTCTTAATTTAAGATTTGATAATTTAAAGTGGATTTTCGAAATTCATCACAAATATTAAGATTTTCTTGCTGCATGTAACCGCTAAGCTATAGCACCGTAAACATAAACATAATTAGATATCAATTTTGAAACCTGCGCGCAGAATTCAATAATAAATTACATAATAAATTTCATTGTGTTCCTAACTTGAATGGTAATATCGGGAGGGAACTGGGCTGGGTACGGTTAGCTTACACAATGGAGGTTACACTAAGTGCTGACATTTCATTAAAATATATTGAAATCGTGAAATGGTCTTGCATCCGATTGATTGAAGCTGTGGCCGGCGATCGACTCCGACGGCTGCCCGAGATTGAATTGTTTCATCTTACGACACGCTTGTAAGTACAAGTACACCCTGGAAACGTTGCTTATTTGAGGCAAAATAAGAGATTCGCTTTACCGCTACATCTTGTGCGTAAAAGCAACTTTGAATACTTCATGCAACTGTTTAATGAAAGGAACAAACGTATTATTTATTTAACCTAACTCTATTTTCTTCTGTATTCGTCTTTGATTTGTAACTGTCATTGTTTGTTTTGGGGCTTCCAATTTGTTGTCTTTTTTTACTCTTTGTTGTCAAGAAAGACAAAGAATAACAGAGAAGATAACTTATTAAAACTGTGGTTTCGTTCAGGTCTTTATTTATCCATTTAGTATGCAATTCTGAGTTCACTATCGCTGTTTTATTTTGAAACAAAGTCTATGAATACAATATCTACTAAATTCAATTTATTATTCGAATTTGTTTGTCCGTGATGATTGAATGATAGATTAACTAAATTATTATGAGCTTTTAAATAATTTAATCTATCACATATATAGCTTTTATAAATTATCTAAGCGTGTTTTGCCCAATCAATCTCTCATACGACGCCGGACAGCAGGTGATCATTAAATTAATTATAATAACATTATCTGTGTTTAGGTTTAAAACGACGTTCCTAATTATTAGGTTCTGTAATAACAAATTGCGGGGACCTTGGCGCTAAATCTTTAAACAACGACGTTACCTACATACTTGTACGTGGATATCTCCTCACCCGATAAATCTAATTTATTGGGAGCTCGTGCAATCATGCGCGTGTAGCCGGTAAACACAGAGTTTATCTCGGTAAATAACTAGACAGCGCGGAGATTCATTAGGCGTCGATCCGTGTCGGCCGCGCTGTAATCGAAGCAATTGTTCTTCGAGGGAAATTCAATTATTAGCTTGTGCAAGTCGCAATAGAAGCCACTACCCTTTATCCATTGATGAACTTACGAACAAATAGGATGATCATCAAAATAAATAATTTCTTAAGTTCTATCAACTTGACTATACTCCAATATACTTGAATGAGAGAAGACAAAGTCCGTAAGAAGAGTAATTAGATAAAGAGAATAGAGATAATTAAAACGTTGATAATAATAGCTCACTGACATATAACTTGACAGTAAATTATTATCTGTGATATTCCATCGTCGCAACACTTATACTGAAACATTTTTATCTCTGTTTTTTTCGAAGAGAATGACAGGGATGACAGTATCTAACATACTGTTATGTTGTTAAAAGTGAACCTACCTACCTAACCTCAATGTTTTTGTGATTTCGTGATTCGTGTTTTTGTAATTGGAATTGTAGTGGTGACCTACGTTAGGTCTCACGCTTCGAAACTGCAATATCTTTGATCGATCGATTTATAAATTAGTTTAATTTATTAGGAGAACGCAAATACATCCTGAGTATTGGATTACTACAAAAATCGTTTATTACGTGCTGTTTACTTAAGGTAAGTGGTCAGCATTGTTTCACTGAAATAGTTCGATAAAAATTGACAAACAAAATCACTTATATCACAATTTTCCTGGAAAATTTAAGTAATACCTAAGTTTACGGTATAAAATGTGTGCAAATTAAGAAAATTGGAAGCAATTCACACCAAGTTGACATTCACAGTAGTCACTGCGGAACATTTCCATACAATATGACTAATTTACATTGAAAATCGATTAAGCCATCGATTTCGGAAGCTAGATGCAACTTGAAGAGAATTAAACAAAGCGTTTGAGCGAATATTTATTTAGCATATTTATTAAGGATAAAGTTAATCGGTTACAAGTCACCTAAAAATAATAAAAAATAAAATTATATAATACTTCTATATTTGGTTGAAGAAAATTTTTACTAATTTAATCAATCTAAACTCAGAATTGATTGTTTAAAAGAAAAAAAAACATTTAAAAAGTCAAACCAAATTCAAAACGCGAACACAACACTTACCAAAAAATTGTAAATTATAGAGCACCCTAAAAATTTTAAGACTTCATGCCGAGGAAATTGACTAGCAAAAGATATGTTAGACAATACTCAAGCTATTCTATAAAAAAGTTCAAAAACACATTATTCTGGCGAGCCAAAAAAGTGAAGCAATATAAACCCTTAATAAAGATATTATAATTTCAACGATTAAAGGTACATTGACATTTAAACTATCTTGGATGCGCAAAGCCGAGTGTCTAGTTCCGCGTCTACATATGTGGCATAAACAAGGGCTATACAAGCCTTACAACGTACACCGGAGGAGTACGACGTGATACTAACTGTGAATTTATGTGAGCCCTATAAATTTTCAATTGTCTGTTGTCATTAAATATTCAGAGTAATAAATCAATGCGTTATCGCGACTCGTTGTAACGGTTACATCGCGGAGGCTCCCTGGAAATAATTTAGAGATATCGATAGGGGATTCCGGATTACGAATAACAACAAAACGGGAACGATTCCATCGCGAGCGCTATTCCCTTTTGTATTGTACATTGGTGCGCTGGGAGCCGGGGAATACAAACGTAACTACTTTAAATAAAACAGATAACACTATGAATTGTATCTTCATTTTATTATAAACATGTTAAACAGTATTTTCTGATTAATGTATTGTTTTCATTTACAATATTAACGTTCTTACTTAACTGATGTAGAGAGGTTTTGCAATAGTTTTTCATTTGTCAAAATTATAATAATATATGACAGAAATTAAACCTATTATATTACAAAGCACTTAATCATTGGATGTAAAACTTAAAATTTGTGACGTATTCCGAACGTTTGCGGTTAATAATACTAGTTTGAATCCATATGTAGTTGTAGATGGAACTTGTGCCCGCAAAGCCATGCATCGTGCAATATTGGTCAGGGATACGAGTACGTGGAGCATCGGTTCTCGGGTGCAAACCGTGAGATGGTACAAAAGATTTGGGTGCCATTTTACCACAGATAATAATTACGATGTGCGAATATTGCGGTTCTTTAGATTATGCTTTGACAAATCACGACTTTGCAATTCGAATGCAGCAGATTTAATGTATGGGCGGCAGTTTGCATTCTACCCGCGACCCGGCGGGCCACCTCTTTCCTAATGCACGCTTATTTGAGCTTTTTAACCTTTCCTCCGTTGTCGATTTTGTGTATTCAACAATGAACTTTAAACTGATTCTTATTCAGTACTTGATCTCGGTTAATTATAATGACTCTTTACCAGCGCATTTACTTTTATGAGCCGATTGTGTTTGAGTATCTATTTCAGTGTTTATTTTCTAAATCAATTTGTATTATTTTAACTTACTCGAATGGAATCATGAAAGTAGAAAAGTAGTTTATACCACTGAAATAAAAATTGTATACATCAAATCGTAAATACTAATTTCTAAAATTTGATATTTATTAAAAACAGCGCACTAAATAACATAGTTCAATGCATTCACATATTTGTATCTGATGTCTTCAGTAAAAAAAATTTATTATTGTGTTATGAAACACTCTCGACAGTTATATACTTGAAGCTATTGTGTTATTAATACGTGCATTACGAGCGAAGTTGTACGAATAATTACTCATTATATTTTAAATGATGTATCGTTACCAACTTATAATTACGTTGTGAACCTTAACCCGGATATTTAATTGCCGAATGGATGTGTACTGATTTAATAACAGTAACAATAAAACTTGTTTGTTATTGATGTTATTTGATTATTGTTTTATAATTGAGTTTTATAATTTGTTGATTATTTTGTATATTGTAAAACAGTTGAACATTGATAAAATTTTTACTTTAAATATTGTTTAGAAGGTTCTCCCCATCATCATCAGCTCACTGTACGTCCCCACCGAGGGGCTCGGAGCCTACCCTAAGTTAAGGGAGATTAGGCCATAGTCAACCATGCTGGCCAAGTGCGGGTTGGTTGACTTCACACATATCTTTGAATTTCTTCTCAGATATGTGCAGGTTGCATCACGATGTTTTCCTTCACCGTAAGAACGTCGGATAAATGTACATATGTAAATCGGAAATCGAAAAACACGTTAGTACATGGCGGGATTCGAACCCAGGACCTGCGGATTGCAAGTCAAGTGCTTGATCCCTGAGCCACCGACGCTCTTCTCCGAGGTTCTCCCCGTTGATTGTTAAAAATACGAAAACGATTTTTTTTTTAATGGAATTTTAGCATTTTAATTTTTAATTTACTTTTAAATACCAATCAACATGTTACAAAAAATATTAAACTCAGAACAATTTAGGACCAACAGTAAAAATTTGTAGCAACGTTAACAAAAATCCTAAAAAAAAAAACAATTATATCTGGCACATAATAAGCCATATTTTTGTATGTGTCATATTCTTACAAATTATTTATACAATATGAATTATTCATGTGGTGAAGTCATTAAACGTATTATCATTTTTTGTCTGCTATTTATTTGTTATGTAAAAAATATGTACAGAAACTTTTTAATAAGTACGCTACTAATAAGCTTACTGTAAAACTTCACTTCCGAATAAGTAACAAGTTTGAATTGGATCTTACTTAATAAGCTTAATTTCAGAATTTTGACTTTTTGTACTGTAACTTTTTTTTAAAAATAATATAAAAAATATATTTGTCAAATTAGAGATATAATTTATCAAACATTCTATTTGAGAAAATATATTGTTATCAGCTGAAATCTTTGGAGCAGATTTACCGTGTGAACGTATTTACAGCCTGCATATAACGTGGTTACTTTGACACTGTAATAATTTACTACCACGATATATTTCAGTTAGAACTGTATAATAAGGTAGGATATCATTTGCTAGGCCTCTAATCTTGTCATGTTTGATATCTCGTACTTAAAAGTCGTGTCAACGGTTAATCATTTATTTATCAGGCTGTTAAATGATTTACAATCTTCTATAAGGCTTATTATTTTATATTATATTTAGTATACGCGAGCAATATTTATAGTAATGATGCAAAAATGAATGAAACTATTTTAAATTTATTGTACGACTGCCAAGCTTATCGTTAAAAGCGATCTCTTTCAGTTCAACCTTTAAATAGACGGTTATGTCAAAATCGAAACTGAACGACGGCTAAAGATTATACAAGATATAAAACAAATATATAAATACTCTGCATACAATTTCTATTAATAGTAGTTAATGATAGAGTTAAAAAGAAACAGAATTATTACCACGATTAAGCTTTTTAAGCAAGCAATATTGAAAAATAATTAAAGTAATTTAAATTTGTTTATTTATTGGGGTTATAGATTGGAAAGAGGTTATAACTATTGTAATAAACCTAGGTAATTACCATATGAATCTAAACCTCTGTGTGGTTCAGCAACACCGAGTAACACGACAGATTAAGAGATTATTAAGATTTGTCATTTACCTGTTACTCTGTATCGAATGCGCTGGTTAATTGGCTGACTTGACCCCGATAATGTCAAAGGGTATGAGTTAAAAATTTCGACATTTACTTAACAGGTTTCTTTGCCTTCTTACAACATGTAAGGCACGTACTTTGTACCTGCAACTTATCATACTAAAAATGTCATTGCTTAAAAGCTGTCGCTCATAAGTTAATTACAATAATTAGAATTAATTGGTTTAAGTACACGATAAACTAAGATGAGAAATTTAAGGATCACTTAGTAAAATATGACGTTATTGTTTTAGCATTAAGAGCTACGTTTGTTAGTTTGTTTTAATCGCAGCACGAAATTACAACAAGTCATTCCGTGGGGCCGGCACGACGCCGACGTGACTCGCGGGGTCGACGTAATTAAAATTTTAACATCTTGACGGCAAACAGTCTGTCGAAAATAATTTACATCGTAATCGTGTACGATCTCAGTCCGTTCTCTAATGCGCCGTATTAGTTTATGGCGGGAGGGTTGAAAGGTTTCAGTACCGATCGGTTTTGCAAGAATCTATTATGTAGAATGCCTCGGGCGTTTCTGTGCAGGGAATCGCCGAGGGTTACGCAAGGCCGACGCGAGGTGGTCGCGGACTGTGAGGGGCAGAGTGGTGGGGCGGGGCGGGCGGTGAAAGGGTTTGGGCGGGGCGGCATGCGCGGCGCCGCCCACTGCGCATTTCACCACCGCAGCCGACGACGCTCCGCCACGAGCCTCGTGCGTCCTACTTCCCTCGGCAGGTACGCTCTAGGTGTTCCATTGTGTGCCAACATCCTCGAACAATGCCGTTGCGAAATCTTAGATAATTCGTTCCCAAATCGTTCAGGTACCTCACGAGACGTGCCAAAGTTCGACAAAAACTTTCAGTTGTAGACGACTTTCTTCATTGTTGTTCTATAGTACGGTTAATTTACCGTTAATTCATTAGATAAGGGCTTAAAGTTCAAGCACAGACGATTACGGTAATAATAATTAAATATCTATGAAAGTAAAATGTTCGCGTGTTCAAACACTCGATTATATCGTGTTAAAAGGTCATAAAGAAATAGTTTAATGCATTGCAGCTGTTGTTAGTCTAAAAAATTATGAAGTCTAGGATGTATAAAAACGTTTAACCGTTTTGTGCATAGGGTTTGAAGTATGTCTAGTTACTATGTTAATGCTATTCCGGCGTAGCATACTTTACGGTTAAAAGCAGTCTGCGGCTCGCGAGGCAATTGTGCTGAAAAGCTTCAATTTGAAGCGAGTTCGCGCCGCATTTGGCTCTAAATGAGACGTCGCGGGTCTGTACGGTAAAGAGGTCGTATTACTGTGATTGCGGGCTGCAGGCCGCTGGCAGGTATTATCTGGTCGCCGCTGGCGCTGCGCCGCGATCTGCGCCGTGCCAGCTCACAGTGCGGTGGCTTGAAGCGCCCGAATATATGACCCGGATTGCACGCTGCCACCGCCTCAGATCTGGTTGCATGAACATACCGTAATTTTGGTATAATTTTAATATTTTAACACTTGCAAAATAATAGCATTTTACATAAATTATCATATTATCGCTGTGTTAAAAATGATGTATGGTTTTGTAACCAGCCTACTCTCCATTTTACAGATATGGGTGACTTTTTAAATTACGGTTATGTATTTTGTAACTGAAAGTAACTTAATTTTTATGGAATTTTATTCAACGAAAAATCAAAGTATAGTCTGTTACAGTACGCCTAATACTAAGCTTTTTAGAAAGCTTTAGCAAGCAGCCAAGTAGAACTATAAAACATAACCATAACCATAAAATATCAAATTTTCTTCAATGCCTTCCATAAAATAATATTTGACTTTACTATTTTAAGTATATAAATATATTGAAACTTAATGACGAAACAATAGTTTGAAATGAAATGGATAGTTACCATCGTATACAAAACACATTTATTGATATACTATCCTCATTCCTTATTCCTATTATACGGTATTTGGTTTCGATTACTCAAACGCCACTAGCACATATTCTAATTTGAATTTCAACAATACATAATTGTGGGAGGCGTGCCCAAGCACGAGCCGGGCACCATTCATCTTGACACACCGTACCGACGAGCTTTGCTGCTTTGCTGCCGAAGATAACAGATTCAAAATTAAAAAAAAAGGATTGTCTTTGATTTTGTTTCTCGCAATATATTTAAAAATATTGGCAGCTCTTGATCATATTTATTCTAAAGTTAAAAGGACCGATATTTTATATTTAAAATGCTACACCTGATATCTTAATCTACCGTTCACTTTGGCACATACAGTTAGGTAGGTACATTTACATACATACAAAAGATATATAGCTTTTTTTTAGATGGGAATCGTAACTTTATTAAATAGGGATCCTAAAGTAATTTTTGTAATCTTATTTCTTACTAATATTATATGTGCGAATGTTTAGATGGATGTATGTTTGGTAGAAGGTATCTCCAAAACGGATCAGGATGAAATTTGGCACTGATGTAGAACATAGTGTGAAAAACACGTAGGCAGAGACAGAACATGTTTTTTTTTATTCATGCTAACGGAATAGCGGGCAAACGCCATGTGCTTCCTATATTTTTTAAATGAAGTTTAAAAAATATAGGAAGCACATGGCGTTTGATATATAGAGAGGCACATTGAATATGTCGTAATGTGTCGCATTCTTGGAGTAACTTAAGCTAAGTAGGTAGATTGTTCTAAGTATGCTGTGCCCATATTTTCGCGTCGATGTCACAGATCCCGAAAGGTCGCTGAACCTGAACCCCCATTGTTTTGTGTTGCGTCAACGAATCGTCTGCCTCGAGCTACAATGAATTGAATTTGTACCGCACTGGGTATTGTAGCAACAATCGCGTGACTAATTTATTTTATGTTATATCTCTAATGGTATGCGGTACAATTATTTTCACAACAATGATTCAGGTGATGCTTGGAGATGAAATTGCATTGTTTTCTTTGACGTCTTGATATCGGACTTCATATTTATCTTCTACGTGGTACTTAACTATTTTTTATTGTAATAACATTTTTACTCCCTGCCAGAATGGTTACTTACGGAATTTATAAGTATAGGTTTACTAAATTTACATTTAGGAGTTTCTAAAGTTAATCGAATGAGTTGCAGTATGTATATACCTGCACATAAAAGTCTAAAAATCATGTATAGGATTAATTTTAATAACAATACGGTATAAACCATTCTGATGGACTAAATTGAAAACTCTCTGATACAATGCATTCATTTTCGTATAACTTTACAAGAAATCATTTTCAAGTAAATGTAAAGTTACACATATGTACAAAGAAATATAATATTTTTTTGTATTTTTAAAGGGAATAACGAAAACATTGGGTTTGCACTTTTTTGACGCATTATTTCGGGTGTGAAAAGCCACTGTAAAATTAACTTCATATCATTACTTGCGTGATGAAATAAAAACCACCCAAGTCTGTTTACATGTTGGTAGAAAGTTGTATTGCAAAAAGTTAACTATGTGCAATGTGCATGTATAATAACAGGATAAGAATTTCAATTTTTATAAGCTGCAACTTACAAAAGTTGAAAAAATAAACAGCGGTGTAATTGCAAATTAATCGCAAGGCATTGAATAAAACACGAGTAAACTAAGAACCGTTAGCTTAAGAACAAAAACAAAAACACCTGTCTATCGTTATTATTAATATATCTTATCCATTGTAGTTAACTAGAATAGTTATCTAGTTTTTGCGTATGCCAATTAATGTTCTTAGAAAGTTATTAAAATGATAACAAGCGAAAGTAACTTAATTCTGTTTATACTAGTTAACACAAAGGAATCCTGAAAAAAAAATTAAAACTCTGGTATAGTCATGACGGTTTTTTTCAACAATTATAAAGGTTGTTATTGGCTTGCAATAAATAACAGATTTGGTTTAACGAATTTAACTGCATGATTCTTAGAATTAAAACCTTAAATCTTTAATAGAAGATATCGATTCGAGAGGGAAGAGGAATAACAACAATAGCCACGATCCGGGTGGTTATTTCACAAGCACTTCTAATGCTGATGTTGCCGCCTTAATGCGATAGTGTAATGCCTATTGTTTCACGTAATTTTCAAAGACAGTATTATCAACCCTTGAACAAAGGCGTTTATCTTGAAGGGTCTTCTTAAATGGGTATAACGTTTCTGAGTGCGACGCACCAGTGGGCACGAATTGACAATAAGAGCAAAGTTCAACTGCGATCGGGAGTGGAGAGGAATGCGCAGTCGCGGTGCCGCGAGGTGCCACGGGTGCCGCGGGGTGCCGCGGGGTACACATTACGGTGGTGCCACGGCACAGACTTCGGTAAACCTACGATGTCACGATTATCCGCTATTTATATTGCCCCCGTCGGATATGAACTGCGCTTACGAACAATAAATTCGGCAACGTTATCAGACCGGCGTGGTGTCGATATGATTTCTGTTCGCTGTCAATCTAAATGTTTGAAACAAGCTTGTTTTATGTCGACAAATCATAAGAGATCAAGTACAATCGCGTCGACAAATATTATATGTTAATAATATACTATGTAAATTTAAGACATATAAATATTTACCGCACAAAAATGAAAATTGTTTGGCAAATATAATAAAATAAAGGAAGAATTGTCTTAACTGAGAAGTTCAAAGAAATGTGTTGTCCTTTGAATTAAAAAAAAACAATTAGCCTTTATGTTGTTAGGGAGACTGTCATGTCGAACATGGTTGATGCATTTACTTGACCATATTTATGTTTGTCGCATGATACAGTAAGGTTTCTCTACACTTGTGCTATGTTTCTGTTATTTGTGTGATAAAAATAGAATTGCAACTCACGCTATAACTTAGTACTAAAGTTTGTACTCTAAGGCATTTGCTTATAAAAAAATATTCATTATATTCCCATCCTTATATATAACTTCTCACTAAATAAAGAAACAAATATTGTTTGCTGAGTACGAAGTTTTAACGTAAATAGTCCTACTCGAATAATAGTTGAGGTTCACCTTATCCAATATATTCACGGGTATAGGCAATTTATGAAACGACATAAGAAACGGGAAGCTGTTTGATCAGTTGTCGCGATGCTCGCGGTGTGGGCAATGAATCAATCAGGCTGAAGGGTTTCCACAAACACATTGAAGCACTCAATCCTTGGCCGCCGCTCGCAGCTCAACGTCCCCTAATTGACATGTGTCAGTGAGTGTGCGACTGACCCCGGGGTCATGCGTGAACAGTTTGCGGCTTTCAATACTTTCGCCGGTCCGCACAAGCGTTGTTGATTTTGATTTCAGGTTATTGTTGCATCGGTGTTCATTTCACTTGTAAGAAATTTCCATAACTTATGTAACGGTTACGATTGAATGCACGATATAAGAAGATTAACTTGTTTTATATTGAATATTAAGATAAATGAGAAACGACTTTATTAGGCGCTAAGTAAATTAAGTGATTTTAAACTTCTTTTCTAAACTTTTAATCTTGTATGCATAGAATAATAATATATATTCATTTTTCATTCTAAATTGAATTGTCGTTGATCTGGGGCAAATGTTAACATAATAATAAGTTAGAAGACATTTTAAAAATAAAATTAAAAATTATAAAATGTTCAAAATGAAAACTTTCATAACTCTGTAAGCAATAAGTCTGGTCGATCTCGACTTGTACATCAGATTGGCAATTATCGCTTTGTAGTACAAATACTATTGTTAGTGAAGAATTGTAGAATG